ACTTTCCTCCTGGAAAAACTAAGGGAGAAACAAACATGTATTTTTTTTTTTTTTTTTCCCAGAATGACCCAGAGACTCTCCTGAGATGTCTAACAATGTGTGCAGAATTGCTGAAGCAGATGAGCATCAAGACCCGGATTGGTCCAACAATAAGTGCCTTAATGTCCTCACTGGTATAAAGCCACACTGCACATATCATCATATATTTCACTAAGTTTACTCTAGATGTACAAATTGATGACAGGTTAATATAAATGGCCTGCCAAGGTTTTTTTTTTTTTTCTGCACATCTTTTTTTATTTAAATGTCTATGTTCCCCCCTCTGATTGGTCTACATACATTTTCACTACCACACAACCTGAGTGGCTGATATGTGTTAAATCATATCCACTTTAGAGTACCTTGTCTTTTTAAAGTTTACTAAAACAGATGGAGATAAAGGTTCTCAATATACCAAACGATATACATAATTAATCTTATATTAAACAGTCATATAAAACGTTTTCTCATATGTGTTTGTGTAAAATGATCCAAACAAATGTTCTTCCACTATAACCTTTTCTACAACTATAGAAACCTTTTGAGTTATCTTTGATCATTGCTTATTGGTTGTTTTTTTTTTACAATTTTTCTTCATCTCCGTCAGGTCCTGCCCTGTATTGCAAATGCTCACCCTGCGGTCCGTAACATGGCTGTGGTGTGTCTGGGAACTTGCACTCTGCACAGCAAGGAGCTGGCCAAAACCCACATGGTTTTACTGCTACAGGTAATGTCATACACTTGTGTTTTCATCAACCTACAATTCAAATACAGTTCTGTTGCTGAGACTTGTGCTGCTCCAATACAATATAGATACATTTAATTGAATTAGTGGTACTTTTAATAAATGTAACAGCAACAGGTCTCTCTAGAAATGGCACCCAGGTAAGTTTCACTGACCCAAAGACACAGACAGGAGTCACATACTATCAGTACTAAAATTGGTGCATGTGTGTGTTTTCAGATTGCCCAGCTGGATGAGGTAAAGATCCGTATCAGCGCTCTGCGGGCCATCATCGACCTGCTGCTGCTGTTCAGCTTCCAGCTGCTCTCTGAAGCAGCTGCCACTCAGACAGCCCAGCCCTCCCAGTCACCAGACAGACTGGAGGAGGACGCAGCGGGGACTGAGGAGAAGGGAGACGCACCAGAGGACACCGCTCAGAGTATACTTGTGATGCTCTCGGATTTCCTGGACAGTGAGGTGAGGTTTTGAGGGTTCATAAACAGAACTATGTATCTAGTTTTGTTGGATGTAAAACAACAGAAGACAGTTTAATTGAATTATCTGTGTGTGTGTGTTTTCAACATTTTCAGGTGTCTGACCTACGCACAGAGACAGCAGAGGGCCTGGCCAAACTAATGTACACCGGCCGTATCTCCAGTGCCAAGATGCTCTCCCGCCTGGTGTTGTTGTGGTACAATCCTGTTACTGAGGATGACACCCGACTACGGCACTGCCTTGGTGTCTTCTTCCAGCTCTACGCCCGCGAGAGCAGGTCACACATGCACCCATACACAAGCAACCAACTGTGGTTAATTTAATTCATTACAACTGTGTTTTTCCCGTCGTCCTATTATTGGTATGATTACTTGCCTGGGTGAAGTTATTAGTCATGCAATACAAACTAATATGGAGCGTATCTTTGTGTGTATTAGGGCCCATCAGGAGGTTGTGGAGGAGAGTTTCCTGCCCACTGTTCGGACTCTGATGAATGCCCCAGCCACCTCTCCACTAGCTGAGGTGGATATTAACAATGTGGTTGAGTTACTTGTGGAGCTGACTCGTCCAAGTGCACTTATTAAGCCCTCAACTAACACAGAGGTAAGAAACATCGCTGAGACTACTGTGAACTCACAAAACCCTTAATGATCAATCTGGGTCTCCATTGAGAAATTCCTCATTAGTGTTTGTGTTTTTATTGGTGCTCTGAGCTTTTTATCATACTGCTTTCTTCCCACAAATATGTATTCATTCCTTCCTTCAAGTCTGCAAATGTTCTTGAATGCTCCAGTCCACATTTTAAAGGTCCAGTGTGTAACATTTAGGAGGACCTATTGGCAGAAATCCAATCAAATGTTCATAGGTATGTTTTCATTAGTGTATGATCAACTGAAATTAAGAATTGTTGTTTCCGTTACCTTAGAATGAGCTGTTTTTATCCACAGAGGGAGCAGGTTGTTTTTTTTCATTGTCCTCCATGTTGGATAGGGGTGTAAGAAAATATTGAAAAAAAATCATAAAATATTGCAATATTTTGTTTTGTGACATAGCATTGATTCTCAAAAGTGCTATCGCTTTTTGTGTTTAAACTTATATCATAATATATTGATTCGTAACCCCTGTATTGTGGTGCATATTTGCCAGATTCAGCCCTAATGTTGAACCGCCACGTTCTACAGTAAACCAGAAGGGACAAACAAAAACACTGGCTCTAGAAAGGCACTGTTTTTGCAGCCACTGTAGTTTCTCCAAAGCGTTTGGTAGGCTCAGCTGAATTCAGTTGGTTACTAGATGCCACTAAATCCTACACACTGATTCTTTAAAGGTCCAGTGTGTAGGTGGCACCATTCTAAACACGAAGGAGTGGCTACGGTGGGCGTGAAACACGCAACAAAAATCTATCTAGAGCCAGTGTTTGCTTTGTACCTTTTAGGCTACTGTAGAAACATGGCGGACTCCAGGGAAGATGACCTGCAGTGTCTATAGATATAAATGGCTCATTCTTAGGTAACAAAGACAATGATTCATATTTTCAGGTGATTATACATTAATAAAAATATATCTGAATATTCTATTTAATTTCTCCCAATAGATCCTAAATGTCACACACTGGAGCTTTAATTCACAATTATTTGAATAAACTACTCCCAAAAGGCTTAATTTGATAACAGCCCAATGAGGAAAAAACAAACTGACTTTATTGAATGCATATGTCTTTAGTTGTGTGTCCACAACTACTTGGCGGTGCGTATGTGTGGGGAGATGCTGAAGGACCCTACAGCCCCTGAGGTGCGTCTCTATGCCAAGACTCTGAGCAACCTGGAGCTCAGCAGAGATGAGACTGTCAGGAAAGACCTGCTGACGCTGCTGCAACAGCTTGTACAGGTACGTACAGAAACAGCGAGACTTGCGGACCTTGTAGTGACACTAGAGGAAAACTCAGTAGGATTAATGAGTGTTCGTACAAAATGTCATGGCAATCCATCAAACTATTGTTGAAATATTTTAGTCTGGACCAAGTGGTGGACAAACAGAGCGTCGCTAGTGTGGCTAAGAATACCCAGCCACTCGTACTGTTTCATGTCTCTGCACTTTCCTTTCAAAAAGGCCTAATGTTTGATTTCTCCTCTTTCCATCCTCCTCTTCTTCAGGTGGTGAAGGATCGTGTCTGTCTCCGTGCTCTGGAGAAGATGATTTACCAGCTCGTGGACTCAAAAGAACAGGCCGAGCTGCTCAGCGCCAGTGCACTACAACCACTGGATGTCAATGCAGATGGTACACATGCAAACAGTCTATAAAAGGCCACCCAACATGTGGCTGAGCATCCATAACAGATATCGCCTTCTCAGTGCCTGTGTCTAACTAGATTTACCGTACACATGTTTGTGGCAACTCTTCCCGTAAAAAGGATTGTCTTATTACCAGAACATTGCTAAGTGGATTAAAAATGCCTTCCCCCACCCTACTGAGCGTATATCAAGACAGGAACACAGCTAGCAGAAAAAGGAACTGCAAAAATATGAATTTTCTGTCTGTCGTGTTTCAACAGAGGCTGCAACAGACGATCCATCTAAATCTGCCAAGCGAGCCAAAAGAGGTAATGCAGGTTCTGTGTACTCATCTAAAACTCCATTGTTCATAGTGCCGCTGTATTTTTAGAGCTCTTCTCGTCTACCTGAGTCAAGGAGTTGACTCAGCATTGTGAGGTAACCTGTGTGTGTGTGTGTGT